TATAGCCCTAAAAATGGCAGGAGGGCAATGTACAGTGGAGGAATAGTGTGTGTGCTTAACAGTTTTCCCCATCCACCACTTGCCCTGCGACCCAGCAAACCGACATGAAATTCATATCCATGGCTGAAGAGACAAGAGAGTTTAATATGGAAAAGTGGTAGAGGAAGTGCCAAGTGCTTTCTCTCTTGGCTGTCCACCATCCATTTATTACAAAACACTCTCTCAACATACTGCACTGCAGTTCTTTGGTAGATATCTGGAATCCCATATCTAGATCTGTTGCTGAATGAATAGCTTTGGCCAAGGACATATGTCTGAAATTGTACTTATGTCCATAAACATTCAACTAAACAAAAATGTTGGTAGGTCACCATCTCCCCCATACTCTGTGTGATCAGGCACATGTCGTTGCATGAGGAGTCAACCAAGATGTGCTGTGCATACCCGTTGTATAATAGGGTCCTCCAAAATACCTTAAATAAAAAACTCTGATCACTATAGCAACCAGGCAATTTAGGGTTATAGGACAATAAGCCAGTGCAGCCATTTAATCCTTTATCCTTACTATGTGGCATAATAAAGTGACTGAAAATTCTTGCCGTATTGGGAAAAAAAAATCATAGTTTTGGCTTGGTTTCAATTGGACGTTTACATTTTTTTATGCTTTGTGTTGCTGTGTAACTTTTGTACTATTGGTGGCTAGTTTTTGTCTGAATAAGCCTTTCTGGGAATTATTGCTTGTTTTGATTTTATGATAGTGAAGCTTGTATTCAGTGTTCTGCCAATTAATATTATATGCTTGTAATAAAAGCAAAAAAAAAAAAAAGTTGTCTAATCTCTGTTTTTCAAGTGTGTGAACGTGTAACAGGTAGAACTCTCTTTGTGTTTGCAAATAACTTTGGAATCCAGTACAATGAACACGCACTGATGGAGGACCCGAAAGACCAGATTAGGAACGGAATGTCATGGAGATAATCTGTGTGATTGCTAAGAGTTGACATTGACTTGATGGCACATAATCAATCAGTCAATCAATTACAATGAGCCAGCTGCCTGCTAGGCTAGGGGCCTATGAGTCCTGCCC